GTTCTTAGATAATGGCTCCCTCATGTTACCTCTGTGCTAACACTGTGCGACACATCGTGTCACTCCTCAATGTTCCCACACTTCCACAGGAAAACCAGCTTTGCAAATCATGTACCTTGGTCCCTTAGCCTTTTATTTGGAGGCTTGTCCCTGCTATCCTGAGCATGAGAGGGAAGAGAGGGGCTGCTGCTTTAGATGATGAGTTTCCCCTAGCCTTCTTGTCTCTCCACCCCACACAGCCACGGCACAGACAGCAGGAGAGGGCAGGCAGGGAAGGGCAGGACGTCCACACCCATCTCTCCCATGCAGCCTATGAATCCAGTGTTGCAAAACTCAGAAAGAGGAGAAAAAAACCAGACCTTTCTTCCTATCCAGTGATAAGAAGCTGATGTGTCTGGACCTAAAGGACCAAGGACTGCTTGGGGTGGTCTAAGTAACTTCAAAGCAGAGTCTAAGCCAACCACTTATTAAGCAGAGAGGAATTCTTACACAAATCAAGAACTTGGAAATGTTGTCTTGTGGGCAGCACTATTTTTGCTGGAGGGCTCTGATCAAAACTATCTCGGACATCAAAACAAACTGATTATGCTATAAATATTAAAGACTTTATAGCTGTTTGTTTGTGAAATAAATTCTTGGACAATCCCTTAGCATTAATGTAGGGAGGAAAAGGTCAGAGAGTAAAGACATAGGAAAAGGGAAATAATTAATTTAGGACATAATTTATTTTGCTCTCATCCTACTCACTTATAGGAACTTATACTAACCTTCCCCCCAGAAACCAGTGGTCAAGAAATATGCCAGACAATATTAAGACTTCTGCGTGTTCAGTGGGACATTCAGTAAAGTGGGAGAGTTTCAGCTAAAACTGTGTCACACCTAAGAAAGCCTTTGGTCATGCTCTGTAGAGACACATTTAAACACCACAGCTGCATTACAAGAATACCTTGAATACAAGAATCTACAATACCTGAACTACAGCCCTCGCTTTCTACTATCATGTAATAAACTCAAACAAATTAACCAAGATGCAGCCACTAAAGTTTGGCTGATCTTTTACCTTTTACTAAGGATGAAAATCCTTAGTTTCATTATTATTCATGAAGTTGTTATTCACAAGGCAGAAAATGTGTGATTTTTTTCTTGTGTTTTGCTAATGGAGTTTTGTTTGGTTGGGGCTCTTTTACAGTTTACAGATTAAAATTTTATGGCTCGTTTGTGACTACTTGGCATTATGAACATTTTCACTGGAAATATGTGAGGATTTTATTAGAAACATTGGTACTGAAAACAGCTAATGGGGGATGAAAGAGGAAAACACATTAATAAGTAGCACTGAGAAGCATGCAGTTACTTGGGAAAAAAACCCCAAAGCATTAAATACACAGTCAAAACAATAAATCTCAGTTTAGACTGTGGCATATTGTATGCCTCTCAGTAAATATTGCCCAAACAAAAAAGCCTCTAAGTAAAGGTCAAAAGGGTCTGAGGCTCCTCACCTGCAAAGGCACTCCCAGAGCACATCTAAACATGTGGTGGCTGAGCACCATCAGTCAGCACAGCCCAGTGACCCATCAGAATCTTGTCAGGTTTGCTCCACAGGTACATTTCAACAGTTCCTACTCTGGCTGCACTTACCAAGGAGGGTGTGGGGTGTCAGAAACAACCAACCAAAAAAGCCCAAGCAACTACCCCTCTCAGCTGAAGATGGCACAGTACCCTGGACTGGACTTCTTGGGCTCTGATTCCTTGGCTGCTGTCTGGGATGGAGAACATTCACCCTCACCAGAGAACAAACAGCAACCGCAATCATAAACTGACCCCAAGGATTTCCCCTATAACTCAGCACTCTCTGGCACTTACTTTATGCCTAATTACTCCATCTCCATACCCTGTTAATCAATCACATAATTGTCTAAGATATCTTTACTGTCTCCCAAAAAAATATATTGGATAACTCCATAACCACTTAAGGGAGAAAGTCAGTGGCTTACATCATCCTGAATAACTGAGGTGACCACACAGGGAGGTTTAAAAAGAAATGTTTACATCTATTCCATGTCATGCTAAAACAAACACATTTCTCCCACTGGCAGGAACTGGAGGACACCCAAAGGTCTGGGGTTTTTTCCTCCACTGAGTTTGTAATCCATTCTTTTTCTTCTACTGGCAAAGAATACAACAGACAACTCCTGCCTGTTTAATATCTAGTATGTATTAAAAAAAAAATCCCAACTCTAAGTGATGTTGGAGCAGTAATATTGTTTTTAAATTTGACTTTCCACTTTTGGACAAAGTCCAGAATAACCCAAACTAACTAAGCTTTTGGACCACTGCATGAGGCCCTGTGGGAATGACACAATCTTACCAGCAGTTGCTATCATAAAGGAAGACAAAACTGATGGTTAGGGACTTGCATTGTGCAGGCAACAGGATAAAGAGAGGTCGCTATTTTAAACTGATGCAGCAGAATTTGGTGAAATTACACACTGACAGCAGCTCTTGACTGCTTTTGTCAATATATCTTACAGCTCAAGTGTGGTGTGTGGAACTATATATAACTGCTTTGAAAGACTGCCCTTGTTTCATATTCCAGCATCATACAAATGTAGTGGTAGAAACAAATGTGCATGCTGCAGTTGTGTGGGGTGCTTTCTTTGCAGTTACTGCCACTCAGCTGAAGCAGCATTTGACACAACACAGACCCATACATTTAGCTTAGCCTGACCCCTCTTTTTTCATTCTCCAAACTGAGTTTTTTTGGAGTGCTCTTTCTACATTTTAAGTGAATCACAGAATATGCAGTGTTAAGTCAGTGGCTTCCTCAAGAGCTCTTGACCATTACAAAAACCTTACAGCCTCCAAGGAGACAAAAGCATTCCTATGTGACAGACACAAAGAGCATGTGCTCCATAACCACAGCATGTGCAAAGTAAAGCTCAGGCTACAGCAAAGAAAGAAGCCACAGTTGTACAGCAGGACAAAGGACATAACACTTCTTTCCAATTGCCCACAAGCATTTCCATCTCACACTTTTCAGATGGTGCACTAGGATGTATGGTGGAAATTGGGGGATGAATATTTTAGTGCAGAAAACTCAAGCAGAAGCCAACATTCACACTCCTCTGAGCTACCAATCCTGCTGGGAAAGGCATTTCTAAGAATGCATGAGCATGAAAGCCTTTCTCCTTGGATCATGTGTAAGATATTCCAAAAATTGAATGATGAATGCAGGAAAGCTCCTAGGAAAGTAAAACCTGCAAAAAAAAAGGGTTTGAGCTGAATTCATCAAGATCTAAGTTAAAGCCTTATGAGGGGTTTAACTTGGTCTATTCAGGATGTGATTGCAGATATAGAGCAATTTGTGAAGACTGCCTGGTGGCAGTGTAATAAAACAGGATGCAAGATCTGGACTAAAGAAACATTTATGCAAGAAGAAAAGACTTTATCTTCTCCAACTCTAAAGCTAGTCTTTACCATCTGTTTCCTGGCTTGGTTAAGTTTTGGATTTTTACTCTCTCTCCTTTCTGTTCATCTAGCACCAAGACTATGGAGCATGTTGCTCGTAAAACAAGCCCTGCTTATGAGGAAGGAAAAGTTATTGGCTCATTGATTAGAACAAAACTAGTATAATACTCTCAGTACTGTGTTCACCTCTGTTGGTCATCCAGAATTCAAACACTGATTAATTTAATTGTCCATGAATACTAGAGGAAACACATGGCTTGGAGAATTGCCCTGCACTCTGTCTCTACAAGCCATTAGTGTTCATTTTTATGTCCTATTTCCTCTCACACATTGCCATCCAAAAAAGGACTTTTTTTTTTTGCAATGGTTATGTAAGAGAAACCAAAGGTATTGGCTTTCATGTAGTCTACAGACTTCAACAGAAGCCTGCTCAATATTCCAAAAGTGCACGATCCCCACTATACATATATGCAACAGTACTAAATATTATTTTCCATTTTTGTGGGGTTTATGATCTTTTCCAATTAACTGCATTGTTTTTCCACCATGACCATGTATTCAGAGTATTGTGGAGTACTGTACCATGGCAGGACATCTGGAAATGTACATGGTACTCATTAGGGAAGTCAGTTTAGGTACAGTAGATAGATAGATACACGTACCTTCAACATCAAGAGATGAGCCAAGTTTTAGTATCATAGCAGAATTTTTTGCAGGTTAGGCCTGAAGGATATCAGCTGTGATTTATTCCTAGATCCGCTGGAGTTTTTTTTACCCCTAAACTGTAGAGCATCCTCTATATTCACTACACACAATAAGAAGTTAAGCATAATGGCCCCCATTCATTTCTTAAGTACAGAAAACACAACACTGAAGATGAGCAGAACTTCCATTTTAAAAGTCTTGTTTGGACAACACCTTTAGAGCAGTTCAGCCTTTTTGAGGCTGGACTACACTACACCACAGAGCCCACAGCATGGCAGTTTCAGCCCTTTTCTTGGAGGCAGGACCAAACTGTGTCAAGGTTCAGTGGCAGTTCATGTCTAGTACAGACTGCCATCTCAGGGAGTGGAGGAGAGTGCCAGAAGACAGACACGTCTGCTTTGATCAGAAAGGTCCAAACCAGCCTCTCCAGTCATTAGTGAGTCACAATCAAACACAATTAATTGAGAAGTGAATGAAACGCCCTGTCTCTCTTTGTGGGGCTGTAGCACAACTTCATCAGCTCGTTGCAGCAGAATGGTGACATCTTCACAGACAGAATTACAGTGTGTTTTTAATATCCTGTTATCACGTGTGATTCCTGCCCCAGTCCTGTGTGCAAACTAGCATTTAACTCCCCTCCTTCCCCACGAATGATTAAATACAAATCCTTCTTTTCAGCAAGACCAAAGGAGTAGAGGCTGTTGGCAATGTATCATCTACAAAAATAGTTAGTCTTATAATTAGAAGGTAATACAAAATCTTATTTTCTTTTCATTTGACTAAGCTGTGCCCAATACTTCAATACAGGAAGGTACAAACTCTATCTGTTTAAATGTAAAAATATATACAACTATATTTAACATTTAAATAACTTTAAACACAACTGTTTGCATACTAACAATCTTATGTACATTCCTTCTTAAACAATACCTCTTTAATATCCTTCTCTTTTGTTAAACAAGTTTTATTTTCCTCCCAAAATACCCAAGGCTACTTTAAAATTCTGGAGGGGTAAAAATTAGAGCTATATAGAAAATAGCAAGATGTCTTACAATTGTAGTGTATGATAGCACATATTTTTCATAAAAACAACACATCATTCAAAAACTGAACCACCGTAAAAGTTCTCGTAAGTCCAACAGGACTGTCTTTAAAGGTTACTTTGTTTAACAGCAAGTCATTCTTAAACAATTAAGGAAAAAATATAGATTCTTTCACCACCTCTACAGATGCATTTCCTTGGCTTGTTGTAGCAATCCATATACCTTTACAGATGAGCACTGCAGTTGTTCAGTGCTCCTTATTTGTACTGTGATTTCAAATAAAATAGATTATATATATAAGGTTGGATTGATTTATAATTAAATTAGTCCAACTTCCTAAAATCTCTGAATAAGAGAACTCTCTTCCTAAGACTTCATAGGAACTCTGGATATCAGAGAAAGAATGGTAACACCACTACTTCTTCCTCACAAGGTTGATCTCATGCAGTACTTGAAACAGCATCACCAAGTTGCGTGAAACTGCTGTTTCCCTGCTTATTTTCCCAGTCAGGAGAGTGACAACTTCTGTGAGCTCTTCATAGTCTGACACCCTGCCAGTTGCACCAGCCTCTGAGCATTCAGACAACTAAAGTGCCACTGGACTTCACAGTAATAATGCAATGCTTTCCTCTGAGTCATTATGCATTTTCCAGGTCACTTGTGGCCTCTACCTCACTGAAATTTTACTCATTTCCATGGGAATAAATGCCTTCAGTTTTTGGCCAGGCAGAGGAACTTGGTCTTTCTTGCTTCCTTGCACTATGAAACCCTCTGATCCATCAAAAATGACAAACAAAAAGGCTAAAGTGTGAGATTCTCTAGGAAAAGAATACTGCATTAGTCACTGTGTGTCAGTTAAGCTGCAGAGTAGAGAAGTGTGACCGAGGAGCAAAGGCACTTGGTGACAGCGCTGGGGACAAGTCAGTGAGTCAACAGTTTCAGTCTCGTGAACCAATTGACCAGCAGCGAGGGCTCTGCCGAGGAGGATTTTGTGGATGATGTGACCGATGATTTTTTAGCACCTTCCTCTTGGAAAGGAATTGTTGCACTGTTGTGGAGGTCTGTATTCATAAAGCACCTGCTGCCTCGAATATAATCTGTTCCCCTCACTAACTGCTTGTCAGACACTGGCCTGGAGAGCGGGTGCTGCGTGCAGGGGCTTTCCTCAATGATCGGGGGTATCCTTTCATTGCTGAAGTACCTGCAGAGGACATCTTCACCTGTACAAACAGGAGGGGGAAAACCAATTATTGCTGACTTCAAAACCCTCCATTAACATTTTGCATTTTTATAAAAGTATTCTGGTTACACTTCAAATACCTAGATCTGGGGTTTTGTTCATAAAATACCTGGACATAAACAGCTATCAATAGATTCACAGCTTTTTGCATCCTTAATTTTTTTCAAGTGACACAATAATGAAATAAATCCATACACAGAGGAGATACCATTTGACTGTTATATTCCAGACTCACACACACCAAAAATGATGATACAGACTACCTTCATGCAAATCATTATCATAGGTGATATTTAACAAATCTTCTTCTAATGTGTTATTCAAAATGCTGAAGAGACCAGAGTTGAATCCATAAACTTCTCAGTATAACTCATGAGTAGCTTAAAAACTACTATCGTTACTTTGGACAAGAAAAATTAATTTTGCAGGTGAAAATATAAGCACTTCCCTCCCCGATTTTGACCAGTGATTCATGATGCTTTCTCTGTTTTAACTCTTCCCCAGACACCTGACCAAGGCAGCTGCTGCTAAAAAAATCCTGCTGGACTAAGCAGGCCTTTGGTTCTGATCCAACACAGCTTAAATCCAAGCCTGGAGCACTTAGGTACATTTCAAGCATTAAAAAAAGGCAACACAAAACCAAAGGTAAAACCAAACAAAAAACCACACACACAAAAACCAGCCCTGCCACCTGGTGATCGCTCTGTTAGTATCCCTCCAGGTTGATGCTTCTCAGTATCAACTTCTACTTTTACATGAAAATAATAGAAACCAGCTTTGATTTTACCTAGAATTAGACATTAGCTTTCATAACTGATTCCAAGAATATACTAGTCATCCTTATTTCCCACTCTAACAGGACTCAAATAGTCTTTCTGATGCAGAAGGTGGGAAGAGGAGAGTGTAGGAAGTAAAAAAGCCATCCAACAGAACACAAAATGTTATGAGCTTCTGCCTCTCTCCCATTCAGCGATGCCTAGAGAATATGTTCCTTTCTAACAGCAGTAGCAGTAAAGAGCAGCTCCTAAAAGGCCCTACATTTTACATTTTGTGAACAAGCTTGCTTCTTTAACAGCCTCCACAGTGAGCTAAACAAAAAGACTTAGCACAAAAGTAGTTTCATATCAATATTAAATGCAGTAGAAAGGGAAGGGGCTGTGTGCAAGAGCAAAATGTGCGATAAAATCACAAGTACAGATCTGCCCTAGTCATTCTAGCTAACTTTTAATGCTCACTACAACTCTGGGGCAGAAGACTTGAGTCCCATCTCTGAATAGCCTCAGAAATTTCAGTTACCATCTGGCATTTCTGCTAAACCCAATAATGGTCACCTTGCATCAGTTCAGCAATATGCAAACTATAATCCTCCATTCCTAATTTAAACACTTTCATGTGGTTCACACCAAGGAGATTTTGGAGAGGAAGAGAATGAGGGATAAAACCTAAAACCTTGCCTTTTCTCCCTGATCCTCGTGGCCTAGAGAAGGGGTCTGCAGCTCCTATCCAGCTTCCATCAGCAGGCATTGACAAAGGACGAGGTTTTCCTAGAGAGAACATAGAAAGTTAGAGGAGTTACATAAGGTTGAGGAAACCAATTTTTAAATTTTTGTTTTTCCCAGTTAAGCAAAGGAGAGATAAGCAATAAAGAGTTCAAATTGCAGAAAAAAAGAATATCCGAAGATAATTCCACTGGTGACATATAAGAAATCAGTGTGCTGAGATTAAACAGCCCTTCTCTTGCTCATTTAGAGCAGGAGTGGACATAATGTTATAAGCAAAATACATATGGAAATGGTGCTCTGTAGCAGCAGACCCCAGCTGAATGACATTCATTAGAGAAATAAGAGTTTTAAGAGACATTATTTCAGATACAGAATTTCAGATTCACAATTTGTACAAATGGCCTTAATATCAATCAAGCCCAACAAGCAGTTTGCTAAGACAAATCATTTCAGACTGATCAAAGCCCTTATCACAACAGTGATAACAAGAGAGGAATGAACTCACCGTAGGACTGTGTTTTTTCTCTCATTTTGGCTGGTAGGACGTTTACTTCCATGGGATAGCCAGGCAGCTGATCAGAATCAGCAATAGTAAACCTCCGCCTCCGGCTCTCCTGATCCAGAAACGAATTGGGAGACTCGGCGCCCTTGGACCCAGGCAGTGGCTGACTGCGTTTGCTGCCTCCTCCATACACAAAGCTCCCCTTTTCATCTCTGAAAGGACATGTCACTGCAGTTAGTGCCTTGAAAGAGTTTAAAGCTACAGACATGACTAGCTTTGAAAGATGCTTCTAGCAGCAAGTCATGCTCGTGACAACTGGCATTGTGCTGCAAACAAGCTGGAAGAAACCCCCAAGAAAGTCAGGTGATAGAAGACTTCATTATATTTAACAAGGAGAAAAGAAAGCCACCCTCCTCATGCTAATTTACTCTTAACAAGCCAGTAATTTAACACACTGAGAAATTCAGAGGCTCCACTCCAGCAAAAGATTTTGATAGATGAGACCTTTCTGTCCTGAGGGCATCAAAGTCCCTGATTCACCACCTGCTCAAATACATAGCTGTGACTCGGGAGTGCTACACAAATTTATCCATCTCTGTATGTGTAATGGTAACAGCTATTACCTCCATCTGAGGGTCTCTGCCTTTCAGTCATTATAGGAGTTCAATACCTGTCACTAAATGTTTACCACCTTCTCTCTCCCTCCTAACAGATTCATAGTGTGTGTATGTGTGTGTATATATATATACACATACATATATTCTGATTAAATTCTGCAAGTACTTTTGGAAGAGAAGCTACCCTTCAAGTTAAAATTTGCCTGGAGGTTTTTTCCCCTTCCTATATGTTACAATCTTATTGCTTGAAGCAACCATTAGCCAAGTCAGGCATAAAAACACATAGCTGACTGCCTAAGCACACATATACCCCAGTGTTCATAGCAGTCCCTGGACAGCACATCTCACTTGTCCAGCTCTCCAGCAAGAACAATGCAACAGCTCAGTGAATAGGAAGGAGCTATTTATGGAGATGCCGAGACCAAAAATTGCACTCAAGAGTTACACCAGAAATGTATGTATGTGGAGAGCTCTCCTACACCACCACCATGTGGAGACTGTGCCATGGGAAGGGAAACCAAACACTGCTCTGGAGCAGAGGAGATCTGTGCCAGGAAGGGAAGAGATCAGGATGATGAGGGAGGAGAAAAGCAACCATCACACAAATGCACCACAATTTCAAGAGAAAAGCAAAACATGCAGAGGTCAAAATAGATGACCAAACAGAAGGCAAAAGAATTGTCCTTTCTCCTCTTCCTGCCTGCCATATCTTCTCATATTTACTTTCTTTAAAAGTTAAAGTCAAGATGCCTTTCCCTTTCCATCCATCATCCAGGATGAATTTTAAAATCTCGTATTGCGATTTCTGTCCTTTTCAACAGGGATTCAGGTCTAAAGGCACTTGAAGCTCGGTATGATTTTGTGTCTCTTTAGAAAAGATAAATTGAGCACCTGGACATAATTCACCAATGTGCTTGAGATATTTAATGATTTGAAGAAACAACTAAGGCATTCATCTGCTAAATCTATATGTTTGCTATTGTGCCAAAAGATTTTAAAATTTGAGGGTTTTTTAATAAGAACTGAGCATGTGTAACCATAAAAGCAAGGCAAGAGCAGGTAAAGGTGGGTCCAACTTCAGTAAAGAGACCCTACCTAAGCAAGCCCCCCCCCCAAGTCCTGCCCCAAAAACCACAGTAATACCACCTCTGTCTCTGTATCAGCCCTTACATGGCAGGAGGCAAGTGCCCTCCCACAAGGCCTGCAGCAAAAGGTCACAGTTTCTGTGCTGGGCTACCTACATGTGACCTAAAATGTCAGGGAAGGCCCGGAAGCATGCCAGCCTTTCACATCTTGCCTGGAAACGCTTTTTTCCCCTCACATTCCCAGATCAGCTGGCAGGGTTCTGGCATGAGTCAATATGGACTTCAGAAGGAACAACAGTCAGCCTTACCATACACACCACTCTCCCTCCCACTGTGTATACAGGTCTGCATTTTTATAGCTTACACCACAGGATAAAAAAAATAAGAGTTGATGTATTGCCTCTCCCTTCCCTTCAGTGGGAACATATTTGTTTTAAACAACTTGCAAGTTTAAAAATTTAACGTGATAGGCGTCATTTAACATGACATTCTTTTCTAACTCCCACAGCAGTTACTCAAATTGCTAAAAAAGGAAAAAAATCCATCAGTGAAAAATGTTAGGGACAAAAATTACTTCTTACTGTGTGCAGCTGGATTTAAACAGTGTCAGAAACATAACTCCACAACAAAACCAGAGATGACATTGGGGTCATGTTCTGGGAACAACTCTGCTCTCTGTGGTACACAGTCTTCCAGTAATAAAATCTTCTACAGTCCTGGTAGCATACACATTTAAGCATAAGATCAAGCAACCCAACTCATTTAGGCAGCTAGAAGCAAGTTTGAGATCTGCAGCTAATCTGCACAGAGCTCTATCAGAAGGCCAGCTCAGAAACAAGTGCAGTGAAGGAGGTTTCTGTGAGTGGTGCAGGTTTGTTTGCATACCGAGGAGAATATGGAACAGCTGGTGGAGGGGGTATGTACAGATCCAAAATGGCTGGCTTCTCCTTCTTCAGTGAGGTATCCACGGTGCTTTCTGGTGACTGAGTTGAAGCTGGTGAGGGACTGGTCTGAAATGTTAAACAGCTATCAAACATCTGAACATTCATTTATCATTCACAAAAAGATAACTTAATAATCAATAGCATCATTTTCATCCCCTAGTGAACTACTATCTCTGTGATATATGGACACTTCAAAAACTTTTAGAGTCCACATTTTCCTCCACCTCCAGTCTTGGCTAGCTTTACAGCCCTCCCACAGAAGTCCTATCATGGGTAATGTATTGCTCAAGCATATTTTGCTCTTTCCAGTTCTATTTTTCATGTAAATTCCACAGACAAAAAAAACAACTGAGACAAAACCCCCTCTTCTATATTTAGATGTGTTAAAAGAAAGCAATTTGTTTAATACAGATATGATTAGCAAGCCTTGTGAAGCTGGCATATGCTACCTTTATTCCATACACTCCAATGCCTGGAGCACAGACAGGAATACAGTAAAGTTCACCATAGATTGAATCAATGGATATAAGGACCAGGGAAGCAAATTAAAAATACATTTGGCATTGCTCAGCTTTGCACCTCACTTCTATAAATTCTCAGCACCTTTCTAGGTTCCTGTCTGCCTATAGGAGAGAAAAGGTTTCAAAGACCTTTATTCTCCAATCATTCCCTCCCCTAAGGAAACACTGCTGGACATAGCCAATAAGCCAGCCCCACCTCAGCTCTTCACACTGGAAGCACATGTCAGGCATGATGCCACAAAAACAGGACACATGCACTGATGAAAGGAAGGAAGTAGTCAAGCATACATCTACCCATTTTGAGAGAAATCTGCTTTCATGGAGATTTGTGATAGCCACCAGCATTTTACAGGTTTAAATTACCCCCATGGCTGTAAGGAGACCTGTATCACAACAGGAGGAGGAAGGGGAACTCTCCCTGGTTTTATTAATTTCAGATAATTAGTATAAATTCAGTTAGGTTGCTCACTCCTGCAAGCATTGAGCCCTTAGTTTCCTAATACAACATGCCATTCCTCAACATTGTTATTTAAGAATCCCTTTCTCTGTCTGCTCAGTACCCAATCTGTGGATTGCCCAACAACCAAATCTTATTTAAACAATTAGTTTAAATAATTTTTTTGAAAAAAATATTCTTTCTCCCCCTTCACTAGACTAAAAAGAGGACAAATATATGGAATAGACTTAAGCTATTTCAGCAAAAACATATTACTCTGATAAACAGAGAAAGCATTTATTTATTGCTCCACACTGATGAATTCCATACATATCAGCAGTTTTGCCTCAGATAAGTTCTCCCAGTGGCACACAGACTGATTAAAATATTCAGCACACCTAGTTCCTTTGTGTACCAAGAGGGCATTATCTGGTAGCAAGGAAACAGAAAAAAAAAAAAAAAAAAAAAAAGAAAAAACAAACAAACAAACAAAACCACCAAACCACATTTTCTTTTTTATTCCATAGGAGGACAGCCATTTCACCTAACCTGCCTTGACATATACTCAAACATCAGTACTTAGGGGCATTTCTGGGATTTTCCTTTTTTCCAGCTACAACCAAGGCATTCCCATCCTGAAATGAGAGCGGAGCTGGCGGGTTCTCACCTGCACCAAGGGTGGTTTCCAGCGCAGGTTCTTCAGAGGAGCAGGAGTGAAATGAAAAGAGCCGGTAGGACGTTTCTTAAGCAGCAGCCTAACTCCAGCAGGATTCTCTCGCAACTTTGCCACCAGATTTTTTAGTTGCCATCCAACCTGGTAGAGAATAAAGACATCTTTTATTCAGCATTTATTTTCTGAAAGCAAACAAACAAGAAAAACCCAAACCTCCCAAGTTAGACAGCTTGTTTTGACATGAACCTAGAAGAAATAAAGGATTCCAAAAAAGCCATCTTAAGAATTTTTAAAAAATGGAAAGTTCTTTTTTTTTGCAAGGTTTTTCATTTTCTTTCCAAGTTCTCTACTTAAGCTGTAAACTAAATACTAAGATATCAAGCAGTGCTCTTTATACCTCAGATCCAGTCCTAGAAGGATGCATGGATATGCTCAAATTGACTAACACAGGGATTCAGAGTGAATAACTTTTGTCATATTTCTTTCTCACATTGAAAGGCATTGCCTAATGTGCTAAGCAAAAATGCAATCATTACATCCAGGTTCCCAGATGCAAATGATTGGACAATCATTTGCAAATTATTGTGGGGACATTTTAAAGCTCTTTATCTGCATTTCAGTGGACTGTAACAAGACATTTTAAACAGGCCTTAAATGCAACATGAACTATTTTAATATTATCCATAAAGCGCTTTAACATGAAATACTGTATATTTATCAAAATATTGCAAATAATAAAATTTATCTTGACAATAAAATGTTTAAAAGCCTCAAACATCAGAAATGAATGCCTCCTGACCCCATCCATGCAGACCCTGTGGTGCATAGGAAGCATAAGGGAAGTTACTCACCACAGTTTGCTGATTAACCTGGATCACTTCGTCACCAGCGTGAATCTTCTGGGATCGATCAGCAGGGGACTACAAAGAGGAAAACAAGAGTCATGTGCTGCATCAGGTCTCCTTCTGTCCCAAAACAACCCCCCACCAATCCAAGTCAAAGGTTGCATCAGCAATGATTTTCACTATATGTAATTTTCACCTCTGCTGATGACTTGAGAAATGTAAATTAATGAATTGAATTATTTCTTTTTATGCTGGGGGAACTAAATGGAAAGAGAGAAGGCATAGCCCCCATCAGTTAAAGACCAAATTGTATTTAAGTTATGGGACAGTCTCCACCCTCCTTTTCCCTCCAGTTTGTACTATAGTTTTAGACAGTAATGGAAGAGGCAGGAGGAGAATTTCTGCCCTAACACAACAACCATCTCAAAGAAATTTTATACAAATGTGTATTTATGTTAAAAAATACTTCAAGACTTTGAACGTACAGAACAAAGGATCAAAACCCTTCCAATCCACAAGATAGATCCTTTGCACTTACTCTTCTTGTTTTCCAATGTAAATAGAAGCTTCTGACTTTAATGTGAAACTGCCTGCCTGAATCACCAAAGTCAGCAGATAAAAATACTTGCACAGACAGGTATTTTTCAAATACCTATCTAATAATAATACACTTTAAAATACAATTTTCTTGGAACAAATACTAAGCTCTGGGGAGCCGTTAGCAAGAAACAGATAAGTATGTCAATATTTAGATTTATCAACAGCTGGTGCAATGCACCAGCCTTTGCTGCACTGCAGTTATTAAAAACACTCTCACTGCTGTAACACACCAACTCCTACCAGCCTTGACAACACCCAAAGCACACACACACGCTACCTTGGTACATGCTGCACCCTGGTCACAGGAGAGCAACTCCTACCATTCCCTCCACCCCATGAGTAACCACCAGGCAGCAGGCCAGCTCTTCCTAGTGACTCCAGAACTAAGCACTGGGATTAAGGACTCCCTTCTCCACCTCATCACACCTTTAGACCTCATGTAACTTTGTTATGAGAAAGAACTGTGAGAATAAACAGTCAACAAAGGAAGAAAACATGGGGAATTTGTGGGAGGCTTCAGCTATCATGAGTAACCCCATTTCTTCATTGTCTTCTTGCTTCCTCTGAGAGGAAATGCCTCTGTGGAAAGCTGCATATATAGGAGTCAACCAAGATCATGAAAAAATGTTGGGCCAGAGTCAAGTTCGTGAAAAACAAAGCTCCTTTCAAGCTGTCCTTTGGGTGACCAACAGCTCATCTGAGGCAGGGTGGAGGACCCTTGCACAGAGAACTCCTGCAGCAAGTGACAGGTCACAGCACTGGAATCACATTGTGAGAGCAGAGGAAAGAGCAGAGTTTGGCTCTAGGCGAACACAACATGCAAAGTCTCACGTAGGATGGCATTACTGAGGGATCCTCTTGGCTGACTCATACCAAATGGACTTCCCCAGTTCTTCCATTGTTCAATTCAGGGATGTAATTCCATTGCCATTTCCATCCACCAGCTCCTGGGGATAGCTACTAAAATACCATTCCAAATCTAGCAAGAAAACTGAGCTAAGATCCAGCCTGGGTCATATCTAAATGATACCACACCACCATAAAGCCATCAGCTGCTCACAGATCTCTCAGTTGCTTGTCAAGTTCTGTTGCTCCAAAGGAAGGATATTCCCCAAAAGAAGAGCCAGTGTTGATAACAAAAAGCAGACACTTAGGTCAACACAGAAAGCTACAGAAGGAATACAGACCCAAGACCTACATGCAGAAGCAGCTTGTCAGCAGTCAACATTACATTCTTTTGCACTTATCAGATGTTAAAATTGCTGCAGAAGTGGACATGATCTCTGTGGCAGATCCTATAAGAGTTATGCCAGGACAAGGACAATAGCATCAAAGCTATAGAAGCTTACACTTGGCAAGCACAGATTTCCACACTCTCTTGCCTGGTCCCTGGACCTGGCAGGGGAACAATTAGAATCACTGGTTCTTTCCTATTCACAAAAAAAAAAAAAAAAAAAAAAAAAAAAAAAAAAAAAAAGGCATTGCAGCAAAAGCCAAGTTTCTCTGCTCTTTTTTTTCTTTCAGTCACTGCTCCTGGACAGAAGTAGCCTGTTTGAAAACACCACAGCATCACCTGCCAGCCTCAGCTGCTGGCTAGAGGTCTACTCCTTCAAGGGCTGCCCAGAAGCCTTCAATAAGCCCTCAGCTGCAAAGGACTCAGTGTACAAATAAAACAAGGAACCACCTGCAGTAAAAAACTAGTTGCCTCTCTTGCCAACTACTTCCTTCCAGCTGACCACTCTTAAAGTCTTACTTGTTCATACTTGTTTTAGTCTGCAAGGTAATTTTGTCATGGGACAGCTCATTGATTTAATTACTCATTACTGAATTTAGCACACTACCACCTAAATGCTCCCATTAGGGGAGATTGCCTTTGCCAGTGGAGAGCAAATACGCCCAAGACTTTGTTAAGCAAGATACCATAAGAGCTCAGAACAGCAGATACAGTAACTTATTAAAGCAATTACTTTAATGCCAAGCATTTGAACTAATTTGTGTACTTGCAGAAACTGGTTTAATCAGACTAACAGTAAAACATGCAGGCACAAAATATTTACAAACTGTGGAAAAAACAAACCATGGATCACGCAGTACTTAAAGTAGTAATGCCATGCAAGTCATGTCTAAAACAACAAAAGTAGTTAAGTCAAACTAACTCAATCAAAGCTGCTGTCTGAGGTAATCTACATTTGCTTCACTTACATTTTCTGTAGTTCCAGTAATTACATGCAATCCATCATAAGTTGATTTGATGTACATTCCCTAAAGAAAAAATGAAAAACAAGTTTAAAGGCAAAACAAACCACATAACTTATCTGATTAAAACACTGTTGGCAACAGACTCAAAACATTATTAAAACCAGTTAACAATTTGTATATTCTCCCTGAAAAAGTGTGTAGTCTAATACTACAACACTCTAAACTTCTTCACAGATCACTTTTAGTGTAATTTATTACAATATTTATAATGACTTAAAACACCTAGTGTATGGAATAAGACTTAGAAACACTCTCTGGTTGGTAATACCAAACACTGCTGATTTTTCTGCCTTGTCAGACTTTGGCCTTGAACAGAATTTTATTTCCTTACTATCCAGCCTGCTTTAGAGAATTACAGGTTTTACTCGGTGGCCACCAGTTCTCTCCAAACAGAGCAGACCCACAGAGATGGGCTACAAGTATTGCTGACATGTTCTTTTACAGCTTCTCTTGGTAAGTCGATACACAGACAGCCTCATAACCACAATGCTTACATAAGCACTAAAGTTCCAGCAGAGTATTTGTGGCTCTGTATGCTAATGCTGAGTGTGAACACAAGGGCAAACTGGATGAAGTGGGTGTTGACTACAAGAGCACCAAATTAAAAATCATGAATAGGCTATTAACTAATAATTACATAGATTTCCCACAAGAGGTGACCAGCAAATTGATTTCATCATTTATGAACAAATACATGACTACTTTTCCTTTCTACATCTGTTGTTAGAAACTCTGAGAAGTACAGTATTGGATGTTACTCAGAGGCTGAAAGCAGCTTAGATGCCTGAAGTTATCACACTTGCTTTAAAAATAGGTGGAAAATTATATGATCTTTTTGACCCTTCCTCTTCAGCCAATTCTCTGCCTGTTTTCCAGTCAGTATCCAATTGGGTGCACCCACCTCCTTGTTTCTTATTTAGGCCAAGCTAGACTGACTCTGCTTCAATGGAGCTTATGTATTAACAAAGAGGTTCCCATTATTTCAAAAATGCATGACTGATTCAGTCAAATCCACTAGTCTAGGTAAAACTATATAGCACAGTAAGACTGTGCAGTTTTCTCTAAAAATGCTCATCTCTCCTGCCTTCAGGGCTAGGAGTGAATACAAATGCATGTAACAATTTAAATTCCCTCCAACTCATTCTAACACATCTGTTCCCTAGACAGAAAATCCACCAAGATTTCAAATTAAGATTCTCATAACCAGCACTCAGCTAAGCAGAATCCATTGAACGAATAAGAGTCAGTATTAAGACATGGCCAACAAAGAGTTAAAAAATTCTCATTTTCCTGCTAACAGCAAACCTCCAAAATTCTCCCATTCATCTCTATCTTGCTATAAAAAACATAAAAAAGCATCTTTCAAACAATCATTTCTCATTGCCTTCTCCCTCTCCCAGCCCCCCTGGGAAAAAAGTGGCTATGGTAACCTGAAAAAATAAAACTCCTAGCTTCACAAGAATTTGTAAATTCTCCAATATCCTGGTTAACACACAAACCTTCAACAATTTAGAATCAGAAATTATATTTGGGGTCAAGCCTATTAATGTGCATATCTGTCCCTGGCAGCCACTCCAGCATACCACCTGACAACTGACCTTTAGGGTTCATTCTTGTGCCTCTTTCTTTTCCCCACAGGTTACCATAAGATTTGAAATACCTTATTATAAATACACACTTGTATTGGCTCACAGGGCTACCTATTAAATACTGGGAAAATCGGGACACTCCAGCCTTGCTTCTTACCAGGCCTTCCCCAGGCTTAATGTTGGTTAAATGGACCTCCTCCAGACAGGCACACTGGCTCATCAGTGGGTCTGTAGTGGACCGGATGGCTTTGTCACAAATGCCATTTAAAGTCTTGGCCTGCAATGAGAACACACAAAAAACAGGAAAATTCTCTCTTGGCTTCTTCCTCTTTTAGTTTCAAAAGATACAAAGCAAATGAGTTCTAAAATCACTGAAATAGAAGATTCATTTGTACAGATCTATTCTACAGCATGATTACATCCTTATTGTAAAACAGAAACAACCTGTTTCCATTAGTGCCACCTTACCATCACTAACAGATGCTGACACAGCCTCTGTCTGAAAAAATAAACACAAAAAATATGCCAAAAAGTTGGGTTTGGAGTTTGTTTGCTCTAACCAAAACAGAACTCATTAAAAATTGAAACATTTTGGTGATTCCTTGTGGGAACAATTGACATTTTTCATGTTGTTCTGTATTTCTGCTATAAGAATACAACTAGCCATGTGTCACAAAAAGTGATGTGTTGGCCATTGACATATGTGCACAAAACCTGACAGTATAAGGTAGGACCATCCAGCACTCAAGTGCTTCTGCAGTACTTCTCTCCATTGTGCCTCTGAACTGACCTCTTCTGGAATGCTTACACAGGCAAGGTTCATATTTCCTTTTGACCAAAACATAACTGATCCTAAGCCAACATTATAAATAAAGGCCAATTCTGACCTTGGCGTGTGTGTCAGTAAAGTTGGAGGCAGAATGGCTTTGCCTTAGAGAACACGTAACTATCAGAATGCCTAATTAAACACGAAAAAAGAAGAAAAAACAGTCAAAAAATCGGTGCCCTCTCTACACTCACAAATTTCATTATGTCCCACTGTGTTTTCTGCTTTGATATCAACTGAAGCAAAGCTGACACTCCAAGGAGGTTACAAAATCTTAAAGGAGAGGGGAGAGAAGATTAGTACACAGTACAGTAGTTAGCTATAAACAGTTTGGGAACCTGCAAGGTAAGTCACCTTTCACAAGGGGCTTGAATCCTTCAGTCAAAGTAGACATGTGTAACTACAGAATAGGGGGGAGCTGTGTCATAGGAAGACATTGGTTTGGATTACAATGGTCCCTGGAAACAATAGCTCCAACGTTTTCTGTTTCGTTTTACGTCAGATTTCTAGAGCAGCAATAAAATAAATCAAAACAATGTTTAAGTGTGAATGTGAGGAACTGCTCAAACAAGGGAATTCCAAACAACAATACCTACTTCTAGGGTGGGTGTACACAAATGGAAAAAGAAAGATACAGAGAACTCCCTTTTACATGGTCTCCTTATTTATGAACAAAATTATTTTTAGTTATTGTGCTACTAAATTCCTAAGCATCTATGAGCTACCGGAAGGCCTTATCAAAGAGCACAGCCTGGTTCATGTCAAAAGCAGGAAGCGATGATTAACTGTTACAAAATATAAAAAGCATTCCATTACACTCTGCATTTGGTCACAAGGCTGCTTCAAACAGCCCTAAAAACTCAAGCTCAAAGTACAGAGCCAGAGCTTCACTTTTGTGGCAGGGCAGCTCTTTTACAGGAAGAAGCATAATAAGGCAGAGCTTCTGCTTATTAGGGTGCTAAATGCACTTCACAGGCATAATTGATTTATTTAACCTGTGATATTTTACAGGACTAGTCCTCCCTTGAAAATTTGAGGTTAAATTCTCTTGGAAATATAGCTGTGTAATGAAACTTTAAGGCATACTTGACTACATGCTATCACTGCACACAATCCATCTGCTGAAATTTCAGTGATTTCCTCTACATGAAAAAACATTCACAAAACAACTCATAGTAATGTTTACTTGCATGATATGCTTGTGCATTTGGGACTGAAAAGCTGCTGTCAATACAGTCAGCATAGAAGCAGCTGAAATGAATGTGAATGCAGACAGCTGAGTTTCAACAGAAACATAAACTTACCACAGTCTGGACTTTATCTTCCATGTCAGCCACAGTGCAATCCTAAAAATAAAACAAGAACAAAACCCCTACATTAACCAATAAACATGGAAACAAATAATCTCTGAAAACTCTACAAAACTGCCATTTTAACCTGAAATAGAAAGAGAGTTATTCATGCTGCAGGGATTAGTCAGATTAGTTTCACCCAGTAGGGCTCAAAAGGACTATTAAGCAACTATTTTCTGGCCCTGGCAAAAAGCAATAATAAACCTTGAAAACTAAGAGAATGTGGGATTCAATTACAGCAGCTGACTTTTCTAGAAAAGCAGAACCTTGCACAATTAAATCAGATTCTCAGATGGCCAGGCAGATGTGCCTGCCTTTCACTGATAAACCCCAACTCAGGTACTCCTCTGCCCCAGGCATCAAAATAGATCTAAAACATACTGTTAAATATAGAAGGGAATGTGATTTTCTAAAAAAATATGCTATCAGTGACATTCCTGAAGGGCAGAGGACTGCACACAAGGCATTATTTACATAGTCCAGGTATAAAAGCCTTTGACCTGAAACAAGTTCATGTAAAAATCTACAGAAGTTGTCACTGTTTTCTGCAAGAAGTGCTGAACTGGAGAATGATATTATTCTCAGATTAAAAAGTTAAAACAGCAAGTAAATAATAGACCAAGATTTACAATATCTACAAGGAGAAAACCCCCAAGCATTTTAATAGGCTGAAGGAGGAGTCATATTGTAGAAGTTTGTGGAGGACTTTCCCCTATTTTTCTCTGCTAAATACATCTGCACAAATCAATAGGAAATGCCATCTATCATCACACAGCCAAAATGCTCAATATTGCAAAGTCCTTCTGCTCCCACTCATTTCGTTTATACTGTTTATTATTTAACCCTTCAAGTTTGACATGGAACTTTAGGTGGAGTAAAATCCTGTCCTTGAATCTACATAGCTATCATCAAAGGTAACTAGAATCTTCTTGCATTCCTGCCATGCTTTATTATGATATGCTTTTATGCATTATTTATGATTATGCAGAGCAGCATTGGTTCCATGAGAGCCACTGGCCTCTTCATCATTAGAACTGACCACCTGCCTCTGTAGTCTATGTCTTAATAAGAGATACTTTTGAAGTCTAAAAATCCTCCTAATGATTTTTCCACTGTTCTCTTTTCCACATCAGGAGACTCCTTTAGACTATTCTAGCATATGTGCCCTGTCCCAGGACAAAACCATGTTGGTTGGTTCTTCCCCCATTAATGCTTTTACCATATGCACCAAGCCCATCTTTTATTATAGGTCATATCAAATTGGCAGAGAAGTAATCTGACATTTTTTTAAATGCCAGGGTTGCTGTTCACAACTTCCATTCCCCTGCCATTAAAGGCTGACCTAACAGAAAGATTAAACACACTTTTTAGCAGCTTTACTAATACATTCAGCAATCTCCTATCTCAGTTCCTGTAGCACTCTTGGGTGAACACTATCTGCTGCTAGAAACACAAACTGTTCCACTGCACAGTCTGCACATCTGTAGCTGTAAATCACTGAGTTTGTGCAATTGCACACAGAGTGCCCCAGCAAGAAGGGCACTGAGCAGCAGGCATGCATATCTTGGGGTACCCAGACACCATCCTTTCACAATGACAACTGACATCATTGGGTGGCATCACACCCTGACAGCTCAGGATGTTTCTGTCCTTTGCCATCATCCCCTTCAGCATGGGGAGGAAATGACCCATGTCACAGGGCATGGTCCTCCAGAGTTCAAACATTATATGGGCACAGAATAATGGTTATGAGCAAGTTTGGCAGTCACTGAAGTGTGCACTGTGTGCACTGAAGTGCTTCACAGCCACAGCAGTGCCACGCTCTCAGAACAGGCTCAAAAACAGGCAGCATTATTCAGAGAGCAAAATTTTATGGCAGCTGCCAAGATTACCACGGCTGCCCTTTTAGCTATTATCTATACAAGCACTCATCATACAGCTGGTAAATTAAAGTTTTGAAAAATATTCTGGTCTTGCAGTAGTGGCAGAAGCAGTCTGGCTAGTGGGATCTGTATCATAAAAGTGTCAGCTCCTTCTATTACATGCAGCATTTCCCATTTGATAGCTAAAACTTCCTGCATGGGACAAGATCTATGGAGTCTGCAAACATAGGTACAAAAAACAATGGAGCCATATTTTTTGTTTAGAGTTAGCAATGATAACTGTTTTTCAACATGCTGCTTGGAATGTGAAAATTTTCAAATGCCGATCAACTATTTCAAAGACTAATCCTCTTTCCAGGAAAGCTCAAGAAAATAAGAGTAGCCTTTAAGCTGCAGTCACTTAAGACACAGCCAGCAATACCAAAATTGATAATTAAATTGAAAGGCAGGGGAAACAACAAAAAAATCCTACGACTCAGAAACACAGACAGCTGAAACTGACCTTCATGGACTTTCAAAGTTAAAAGTAAGCTCTCATTCCCAGAACTGCCATTCATTAGCACTCAGCACAAAGCAATCACACTACTTCCCCAACATCTCCTTTCCTTCCCCTTTGGAAAGCAGAGAGGAAAAGAAATCAGCTGACCTTTTGAACAGTAGTAGTGAGGTCCAAGCAGAGCTGAATGATTCTGTTCTTCATTGATGAGAAGTCAGCAATACCTGTAAATGGGGTCCTACAACAAGAGAAAATTCCCCTTAGATTGGAAGGACCAGCCTTCTCCCCATCCTACCTTAGTCCCATATGCTCTTCCTCACTGGTAAGTGCTGCAACTCTGACATTGATATAGGTGTGAGGATAGTTTTACAATGTAAATATTCCTGACTGCGTAGTCCTGCTCCACTCTTGCACCAAAATGGGGAATTTTCTAGCCCTGTCCTTGGGTTTACCAGTGAGAGAACCTTTAACTTTCTGACCAAACAAGGGGATAACAGTTCTCTAAAAGAAGAAAAATAGATTTTCACGTTTTACACACAGAGGTCCAGTGAGACTTAGAGAAGAATCATTATAGGTAGGGCAGCTTTAGGACCTGAAGAGTCCTACCTCTGATCTTTCAGACAGTTTCAAAGCCTAGAAGAGGGGTTGAGAAATAACCATAGCAGGTCTAGAAATGGACAAGCCAGCAGTTTTGATGACTGTGAGTTACAGAAAAAAAATTAGGGTGAGCTGCCGGCAACAGAGTGAGAGGAGAGGACCAGGTGAGAGGCACAAAGTGTTAACATCACTGACTGGACACAGATCAAGTCCTTACTTGAGAGCAGGACAAAGGATAAAAGTGCACCTTGCTGCCAGTCCCTGTGCAGCTATTCTCCTAACTCTCCTTCTCAGGAAGCTAGCTAAGGCTTTGAGAATTTATATTCATCTCTTAACATGGACTGCACCCCTGCTGCAGCTGTAACAAAATAATTCTGTCTCTTTCCAGGCAAAAAAAAAAAAAAAAAACAAACCAAATAAAAAGAGAAAATGAAACAGCAGAGGGATAATCTCTCCCACTGCTCAGTTTTCAAATCACATAGCTAAGGCCATGATTTCAGCAGAACATTAAAAATTCTTTCAGGAAGGGATCTGCCAATGTCAAGTAATTTAGAAGCTGGGAAAACCATGTGTATGAGAAACTGACCTAAAAGGGAACACTCCTACTTTTATAAATACTTTTATAACGTTGAGTGCAACATTAACAGTTTCATTGCTTTTAGCAAGAGTGTAAGTGCAAGAATTATACCCTAGGTTAAATTTATCCACTAGAGGTCTTCTAGCAACACCAAAAAAGGGGTTAGTAACATCAAGATCTTTACACCCAAGCATCTAGGAAAGGCCCTACTAAGAGAAGCAATTCTTAAGAGCAGCAAATTAAAATATAACCATTTGATCCTTACCTGTCCAACCATGCAAGCAAGGCTTTAGCAGCACCAATAAGCTCCACGACAGAAGTAAGGAATTCATTGGGGGGCTTGCGAGAGGTATTTCCATCATAATTGGAACTTTTCCTACGGCTGCTGATGTAGTTCTGCAGATTGTTGGATGACCCTCGTAGCTTGAGAACCAGGTTCTTCATATTGTCTGTTTCAAGGCCATAGTTCTGCAAGGAACATTATGAGGCTTGCTAAATATCCTTGTTGAGTTCTCCTATTTATTATAAAACAAGTTAAAAGCTCACATGGGATGAAAAGTCTTGATGATTTGCACAACTTTCTCATGGTTTTTTGGCAAAAATGTCTTGAAAGATTTGTTCTACACTGTAGCCAGTAAAGAATACTTTTATAAGTGCCAAACCTCAGTTTCTGTCATTAATGAGATTTAAGGACACTTTTTCATCAGAATCAAGTCCCAGTGTCCTAATAGATATCACTTACTTGTTAAATGTATTGTTTTTCTTTGTGTTAAAGAAGAGCAAGCATTTTGTTTTTCTTAAAACATTTTCTATCCTGTGGTAAATAAACACTGAAGTAACATTTCATTCACAACTAAAGATAAGTTAAATCTGGTAAGAGATTAAAACATCAACAGGAAGCAAATGCAGTTTTGCAATCAAAAGCTTAAATAAATATTTGAATCACTAGTTTTCAGCAACTGTGCTTCTTGACTACAAAAATGCAATTACTTGCAAGTTTGAGGACAGTGTTAAAATCATACATGGTAATTAAACCCATTTTTAGAGATCCAATTTTTCATTCATTTACAAAACAAAGATCTGAGAGCCTTGCCTACAACTTCAACTGTATAGATTCAAATTCCTACTTTTCTTGAGGAAAAAAAACAAAAACAAAAGAACACCAAACAACAACAAAAAACCACTCCCACCAGAACAAAACAAACACACAAAAGTACAAGAGTCCTGCCCTTCACTTTTCTTTTGCTGCTGCAGATTCTTGCAACCTAACTCCAAGTTCCATAGTTCAGTCAAATACACTCTCTACTCTTTCTACTTTCCTACTCAAAAACCTAAACCAACTAAGGCAAATTTTAATTCCATTTAATTCCTAGATGCTGGCTTGTATATCCACTCCCTCCAGAGTGAAGCACCTGTAAAGCAGGCTGGAACATTTCAGATTAAGTTATTTACAAAATGTAAGAATCTTTGACCCAAAGAAACACATGTCTCCAGTGTATGGAGAGGTGTCAGCTACACAGCTACCTTTAAAATCCTACTGCCTCCTATGGATAAGATCCCAGTGGGTTTAAGTTACACAAGTGCCTCCCTCCTCCACCTCAGGGCTCTTGGCAAGGAAATACCCTTAATGTGCAGCCAGGAGTAAGGGTTGAAAGGATATGTCCAATTTTAAAAAATGCCACTGTTGCAACAGCAAAGGATATCCTTAAATTTTCCAGGATTACAGAAAGGGAAAGATCTGGATTACTAAACAACTTTAAAGTACTTGCACACTGTGATGTGTGAACTTATCACCTTTAAATTTTAACAAAAACAACCACAAAAAAAACCCACCAAGAAAACCCAGCATCCCAAGAGCATTATTTTTATGCATTTCTTGCAGTTAGTTTTATCCTCCTCTTAGAAGACTGAATATTAGTCTATTGTTGAGGGAATACTTTTTCACAAACAGGTCTGGATGTGGGGCAAGTTGCTATGATGACAAGAAAGTAGCCACATATCAGAAACCCTGCCCTTAAAGAAGGGAACTAGGGGACGCTGATCCCCTGCATTTCATAAAGGCACAGAAAACAGAAGATATTTTTCTGTGCAGAGGTACAACCCAATCACCCTGATCAGAACTTGAGAGTTTTCATGTAATTAAGTATCTCCAGATCTTTCTTTCTGTCATTCAGATGCACAAACTCAGCCAACCACCTGTGGGTACTTGAGATTAGAGGTGGCACCAGCATTTAAGAGGACATGTGTTGTCGATATACCAGGTAAGATTTTGGGCTTGGCCTTAAAACATTCACATACCCCTTATCACACTTTTCATCTTATCTATACCACAGGTGAGTCTGGTGTGACTCTTCCAGTTCAGGTAGTTTTTAAATAATTCTGTCAAGTTGTTCTCAGTTTTGAGGGTGACTTCAGCAACACAGGTGCAGCCTCTAGGGATGCAGGAGCTCCAGCTCATAACTGCAACATGTGTTCCCAAAAGACTCCCAAGACCCCACCACAGCTAAGCTCCAGGTCACTGCTCTAAGTTCCCTCCTACAGCTTCCCCCCAAAGGCTCTACAGAGTGCACTTCAACTGCTAAACCAGCAGTTTGTGCTTCAGGAAAAGCCCTGACCAAGCACCACACCTACCCACAACACAGAGTATGCAGCTCTTGAGTACCAGGACACCAAACTGGACAACTGTGGATCAGCCCTAGTGGATGAACTACGCCAGAAATAGGAGTCATCCCAACCCAAGCCACCTCTGCTCCACCAGTCCCCTCACTGTCTGCTCTAATACACAAAAAGCATTTTGCCCCTTCACCAGGTACAGCAATGCCTTTATCCAAGCTGAAACTCTCTTGACCAGCTCTCTTGACACCACCAGCTAGAGGTGTCAGGAGTTGAAACTCTCTTGACATCACCAACTATTCTTTCTCCTTCACTTGCAATGTCCAGTGTGTTGGGAGGGTTGGCTTGGGGATCTAAGCAATACAAAGAAATCTAATCCCTTGGTTTAGCTCCCTGCAGTAGCTCACTTCAGGGTCAGGTGAGTGCAAGCACAAAGGATCACTAATCAGAGGACAGGAGGGGGTGGAGACAGCAACTGACTTGGATTAATTTAACTTGTCATAGAACTGTAGCCCCAATCCACGACAGATAGGAATGCTGATACTATGGCAGCACACCAAACAACCTTCACAGTGACACACAGTTGAAGTGCAAAGCTTAGCAGGCTTTTCTTGAAATATTTCCACAGGATTAAGGCTACAAGAGTTATCAAATCATTACTTAAGCAACCAAAAGGTTCTGGTTGCTTAAGTAATTGTTAGATGTTGCTCATGAACCAAAAAAAAGGTTGCACTTTACTACTGCTCCCGATTTTAAACATCAAAGTTGTTTTGACCTAAACACAGGCTGAAGCCAGCGGTCAAGAGCACCTGATGTCAAACATTCCCAGGCTATTACTCATTAACCTGGGGAGCCACATGCAGGGCTGGAGGAGAGGCAGCACCCACACGTGCAGGAGAGAGCACATGAACTCACTCCTTCTAAACTCCATCACATTTAATGAGAAAAGGTAATCTGACCAAATAATGGCTCAAGGTCAGGCAGCCAAAAACAAAAAAATTAAAAACAAAACAAAAAACCAAACGTGGCTAACTGAAGTCAAAAGAGCAGAGCAGTTGTGTCAGAGCTGAATTGGGCTGATGAAGAGCTCTGCTACTGCCCAGGGACAGCATCCTCTTCCCTTTCACAGCCATGGTCACATGCTGCAATGTGATGAGTTGGGCATGCTGGCTGATTGAACTGAAAACCTGCTCTGGGGGAAAAAAAATGAATAAAACCAGTTCAAATGCTTGCTCAGATGCTGACCCAACTCACTGCAGGCTATATAAAGAATTAACACAAGGTACTGTCACAGTCACCCGTTCTTGCTCTTTTCCTTCTAACAAAAATGCATTCTAAATAATCCTCTGGAGTAGTAAATTTTCTAATAAACAACAAAAAATTTGAAGCATCTAAAAAATCTAAAATCTTATGTGGCAGTGCATAGATATCCTTTGACAATGATTAGGACCCAAAGGGTAAGTGTTCATGAATGCTTTTTTTTTCAGGTTATGATGTTATATTTTGTTATGCTGCAAACATGCTGGCAGAACATTACCACCAGTAAAATGATGAAAGGCACAACTATGTCCTTTTTTTGTTTATGGGTTTTTTCAGGGCTTGGGGTGTTTTTGTAATTGTATATAACGAGTACCTCTTTGTTCTAATCTCAAGAAAAATCCACTGCATTTTGTTTCCAAACTCTCCCATCATACAGTGCAGGCAAAGATTCAGAAATCAAATCCAAAGAACACATTTAAAGTGAAAATATTTGCATACTTTCTTGCTTACATTGTTTTATATTCATTAAGCCCTCAAAAGCTTGTTTTCTGTCCCTGCTTTTGTGGTTTGAAAAGCAAAGTTAGGTATGTTTGTTCCCCTCTCCCCCAAATACTTCAATCAACAAAGAAACATGATCTTTCTTCCATCCCTTTTCCTCCTCCCCCCACCAAGCACTACTGTCAACAAAAAGTTTATATACTCTAGTTGATTTTTTTCCCCTCTTCAGGGGGAATTCAGGTCCTTTGATGTATCTTCTAAATTCCTCAAATAAGTCTCCAACACCCGTTTAGAAAATTCTATTAGACCAACTGAACAGCAACAGAAATGCTGTATTCCAGTCTGCACTCTCCTGCTGACTCCTCAAGATGCTGCATGTGCAGCCACTGCTATGAGAACATGAGGGAACACTGCTTCATCACCAAAGCAGTAGAGAAAGATGCAATTATTTTCTTTTCACACCAGGAACTTCCAGACATATTTTTAGCTTAGTGCTGCCCAATAGTACTCAATGCCTAGAAAAACTAAATTAAAAAATTGGGTGCATTTGGTGTATTTTCTCAAGGCAAGGATTATGTTCACACTATTTAGTGACTGATCTACAGAGGCTGGAACAAAGGTCTCTGTGGGGAATGCTTGAAAAGAGATACTGCAGGAGAAAGAGGTCCCAAAGAGAGCTTCCTCACTGTCTGTAGAGAGCCACACGGGTTCTTGTGGTATGAGGGAACCAAAGCATTGATCTGAAGGAAACTTAGCTGGGAAACTGCCAAGGCAAAATAGATACAAGGGGAAATTCTTCTTGGGAACTCCAGGACTGGGAAACCACCAAAATCCCCTCTCAGCCTTTCTCCACCAAGAATGACAAGCTTGTGAAGAGTGACATCAGGCTGGCTCAGCCAATGCTACATTGCCACAGTGTGAGCTGACAGCTTAGTGGGGGTGGCAGTGGGGTCAAAAAGGGGGCAACAAAAAAGAAAAAAATATTTAAAAAAATAAATTTAAAAAATAGTTCCTTTGCTTACAAGGCCCCAAAAGTTGGGAAAGTGTCAGCATATGTCCAAAACATCCACTAAACAATAAACATTACCACTTTCAAAGAACTAATGCAGGTGGAATCAGGAAACCTCTCTCTTGCACAAAAAGAAGAAACAACAACAAAAAAATTAGTTGTCGTTAGCATTTAGTATCCCTTGGAAACAAAATCAGTGGTGATTCTATGCAGCTCCAAAAACCCAAGGGAACAGGCATCAAGAAGGTGGCAAAGGGCATACTGAAAACACAGGAATTCTTCCTTCACCTCTTAAAAAGGGAACAAGTACATTTCAGCTGTTATATGCAATATCTGTCTAATGCATTAACTTGAGCTGCATTTCACAAAGGATTTCCAGAAATGGGTCTGAGGTCAAAACTTTTGTCTACAAAGGAAATTAGAAGGAAATTGTAAGAGATAAAACACAGCTTTAGGTTCTGGCAGCTGTCCAGCTTTGTTCACTTTATTCTAACATTTTCAAGAGAATAAAAAAGTGCCTTTGGGGACTACCACATAGATGACTTCAGTCAGGACCATATACAGCCCATACTACATTTACTAACTCACCAGACCCCCACACTCACCCAACAAGTTCCTTCCCACACCACAAACTGCTTTTCAGTCCAGCTACATTCTTCTATTAGGTTTTCAAGTTAATGTTAACATTTTTTGGTAGATCAAATACCTAAAGGAAATAAAATGTCTTTCAAGTATAAGAGTAACTTTTTTGAGAAACATTTTAGATCGTTTGAAGAGATTTCATTAAATATGCTTCTTTCAGTACAATTTGCTCCAGGTTGTGGAGTAGGAACACTCCCTGCAGCACCTCTCTGCAGCCAATAAAGCACGTATCACAGAGACAATAAATACTCTCCATTTCAAGAAGCATATGCAGGCTGCTCCAAACCTTGCCTAATGTAGGGAAGGCAGGCCAGTGCTGGCCAAGGAATCATCAGGCAAGCTTTCCCACCTTCCTCCCTGATGTAATTATATATACCTCTGCTGTTTTTTACACTGCACTACATCAAACAGGCCTTCAGGGCTGTGACCAGAATATCGCTTTTAAATAAAGCCTGCACTAGTGAAACAATCCAAAATACATTTATGGTTTTCAGAGCATGTTTGTTTTCAAAGTATCTGCAGTTATGTATCAGGAGTAGGACAAAAGAACAGCTTAAGTTCTGAAGCCAATTAAGAGTTCAGCTAAATTGTAACTGAGGTGCTGAAACATCCCTCATCTCAAGAATTTTATTAACTTCCTAGATTTGCTACAGAATTACCCTAAACCCATTTCAACTGATGTGAGAAACTTCTAGCAGCTGTCATTTCAACAGGATGTTTTCTGTCTTCTAAGACAAACTGTTCACTAACAGGAGCCACAAGATCTAACAACATCACTCAGACAACTTCTTCTTTGGAAGTGCAAGCAAATGAATTGAAGTTGCCTCTTATCAGGAAAAAGTTAGAGAACTATTTAATACTAAGCTTGCAAGAATTAAACAAATTCTTACTTTTTTCTTTTATTGTGACGTGTAACAGAAAGCAACAAAGGTATTCTGGTTTTATCAATCTTGCTTTGGCTATTACCCAAAAAAGCCCTTTAAGAAATTCTTTGCATATCTCTTCACAGCGTAACTAACCAGTGCACACAGGAGATCCACAGCCTCTAGAACCAGTTCCTGGTGTCCAATCCGTGAGATACCCAAGTCTTCAAGGTCCTGGTGAGAAATCTGTAACAGTTGTTCACCATTTATCTTCTCCCGTTCAAATTTATGGACATACTGCTGCAGACAATCATCCAGGCCTACCAAAACACAAAAGAGAGACAAGGGGACATTAGTAACAAACAAACAAACCCCTCCCCCCCCCCCCCCAAAAAACAAACTTGCAAACAGCAGGAATTTTAAGTTCATATAATATACAATGCAAAATTATGAAGGAAACTTGCAGTGTGACTGAGGTTGTGCCACAGGAGCACAGAAATACAGCACATAAGTCATGGGGATCTTTGGGTCACCTAAGTCAAGGCACAACCTGCCTGCTCCTTGTGGATCAAGCTCAGCCAGTGAAAATGTGCTTTGTTGTCTACATAGGCAAAGTGACCAAGGGACATACACATCAGGGTAACCCAAACCCTGAGGGGCATAGCAACAACAACAAAAATAACAACCGTCCAAAGATCCAGGGCAAGGCAAGAACAAAGACCTTGCCCAATGCCTGTTAAAAAAGCAAAGAAACAAAAGCATAAAATGATGAGAAGGAAAATGACCAAAAAAAAAAAATAAAACACAAAGGCAAAGCAATCAAAAGGATGTTTGGCTCAAGTCTCATTATTACCTTGATTTATAAGAGCCTGCAGCTTCCTGAAGCAGCCATTGCTTCCCCTTTCTGAGGATCAACAACACACACCAGTAAGACATCTAAATAATTTTTCTATCTAGAAGTATTTTTAAAACAGTTTAGACTATTTTGTCCCAGCAATATCCCCAAAATCCTCACTTTAAACAATGATTCTATGATCCTGTTCTCTACAGTAGGTTTTTCCAAGTGATTACAGAAAGTGTTTCTGGTTTTTATCTCATTTTACTCTAAGCTTCATGTGTTAATCCTGTTTCCTTGTGTATTTTCCTTACTTCCTCTGTTGTTTAAGAGCCTGTGAACAGCAACAATCTGGGGGAGAATTTGGATGGATGTGTTCTTTTTTAAATGTTTCAGTGCTCTTGTAACTCTGTTCCCCTTCAATATTTTGGCTGGAGCAAAAGGAACAGACCCAATTAGGTCTGTTTCACAGGAATACACCACACTCATTGAAAACAGTTGACATGAGCAAAAATTCAAATAACATATTTGACGTCTTCTTTGTATTGTCCAATACAGCTACATTGTTTTACCATTCCTTTTTAAAAAAAGGTTGAACCTTTACTTGAATAAAGGATGTTTATGCACAACTCCGGTTCAAAAGGAAACCATTGAGATGGACAGGATATCAAACGCAGCAGATGAGAAACACGAACAGCATCCTGAACTACAGAGAAACAAGAGCCAAAACACCAGCACTCAGCTCCACTCGTGGACCTGCAGCAGCAGCCTGGAAAACAAGCACTCCCAGCACACTCTACCACCAAGAAAACACTTGACTCAAACCACAAAGGGAGTTTGAGGAGTCACATGAAACAAATTCACGCCCAAACAGTGGCAGGAGCAGGCACAGCTTCCCCACAGTGCCTGCTCACATCACACAGATGTGCAGAGGATGGGCTCCCAAGGCACAGCCTGACTGTGGTGGACACACACCACTCCATCTTCCAAGTCAAAGAGGACAGACACCCCTTCACCCGACTCGGGCAAGCTTAATTACTGGAGTAAATCAACATCTGGCTGAACAAGCTCAGCTCCTCCCTGTGCAGAGCTACCAGCGCACACAGCTTGATTTTTAAGCGTAATTATGAATGGAAAAACCTGCACGCAAGTCTAGCAGAGTCTCCCAGGGCTACAGTTGTTCAGGGTGCACTCTTGTTTCTTCCCATATGTCTTGGCAAAGCTGCACAAATTTTGAAAATTGAGCCCACTGTTCTCTTTCCCACAGGCACCAAATTCCTCCTTAGGCTATACAAACTCTTTTCCCAGGAAAAATAATTAAAAAAAAATAACTGGCCTTCATTATTTAACAATTTATTTTTTCAAACAAATTCACAACCATGGCTGACATACAGTGCACATATTTGGCATTCCCAATTTTTATTGCTGCCTCACAGACCACTGTTTCCCATCATTTGCTCTTGTAAGCCCATAGTTTCCATTACAAACTACACAAGCACCTAAAATAAAACACTTCATTCAGCATGCAGTCAAGGTTTTATTTTTTACTGTTTTTTTAATGCAGTTTGGATTTTGCCTACTATCCTTTCTAGAACTTCATTCTATGCTAAAACGTGGAGATTCAAATGTATATATCCTCCCCAAAAAATACAACTATGGGTCTTCATTTGCCTGTGCTTTTTTTAACTCATGCTTGCCCATTCTTGATGGTCTATTAAAAAATAAAGGGCTACTTTAAAAAAAAAAAATTAATCAAGAGCCCTTAAAAACAGTACTTTTATAACCACACTGTAGGACTATATTTAATAAAATAAGATATTACAATATTGCACAAATGTTGACTCAAAATAGGCAATACAGTGGCACAACTGCTCAGCTAGACTTGTATTGAAGATTAAATTACAAAACTGTGCAAAGCAGGAAGTGAAGACAGATCCACTAACTCATGTACTGGTAGATAGTTTAAGATGAGCTTACCAGCATTAGGAAAATTGTTATTATTTTTACTAAGAAACCTAGGGGGAAATATCAAACATTTTAATTGAGATTGATCACATTTTATAGACTATAGTTTAATTTTCCATGATATGAATGAAATGTCTAATCACATGGGAATCAAACACATCATGTGCAAACCACACTTCCAAGAGGGAAGAGAGAAGGGAGGAAGGAGGACTCAGAACCCAATTCAATAAATTTTAATAATATTTAAGCAAAGTTTTAAAATCAGCATTCACAGGTCACCAGTAGTCTAAATGAACTGCTTATTTTTCCCTTCTTCCACACATCTCTATATTCTTTCCATGTATTTTTTCCACGAACTTCAGAGCCTTATGGAGACTTGGTATTGTCAATTGCAATGTCTGGATATTGCTGAAGAACTTAGATGAATTAAAAACAATAAAAAAGCAAGTCGACATCACTTAGATAAATTCTTACATTATTTGAAACACACTTTCTTATATGCCAGGTCACTTTCAACAGTGCAATATTAGCAGGTTTAAGCAAGAAAGTAGTTTTCTGTATTTCTGATAAAATAGAATTAAGACTGACATTGAAAACAGGTATCTATATTTATCTCCTTTATCCACTGAAGAGCCTTTCTCAAAACTAACCTATTAATTTTCAACTCAAAACGTGTTTAAAAAGCATTTGTCTCAATCACGTGTGAAATCTTTACATTATTGCACATACAACAAAATCATGCACAAAAGAATGTCCTTTCTATTTATGTAATTGTTAGAGAATGAGGAAAGGTATAAATAAAAATAGCAATTGCAGAATATTATTCAAGTTTTAGAACACTAGTAGCAGAGATTAACTGGGGGAGGGAGAGTGAGAGAAACAGACTAATTCAGTTAGGTTTTCACAACTCACACAGCACTTTCTGATGAACAGGAGTGTAAGTTGAACAAAATTCCCTCCAAAATTTTGGCAGGTGTAGAGATGTGCAATAGATCCTAAGAACTGTCTAGACTTTTCTGTCTAAAATAACCACCAAGAAAAGCACCCCTGGAGACATTCAATACCTTGCATTCATGCAAAAACATTAGGACAGAGCTTACACTTAAGGATTTGCACTGATACCAATCTCAGTCTGTTTCCACAATTAAGAAAGTTATTTTGTATAAGAATTGAGAGGAAGAAAGAGACAACTTGGAGGGAGTTATGGGTGAGGCTTGGTTCCCAGCCATAACTATCGGTTTTCTTTTCAGACACAATTAACATTTCTATAGTTGAGAGACATCAGCCATCGGGCAGTGGCATACTTGACTCCCCAAAAACTAGAGAGGTGTGTTTTGTGAGCAGAGTCCTTAAAAAAGCTGAGTTGGACACTACCAAACAATTTACTTACCATAAAGCAACAATTAGCTAATCCATTACAGGCACAGCTGACTTACCACCTCTTTTTCCCTCCCTCACTCTCTTTTCTTGTGATACTACATTCAGCAGACAGTGGCATCTGTGATCTCTTTTCTTGTGATACCACAGTCAAGTGTCCGACAGAGCAGGGCAGAGGGAGCAGAGAGCAAGGAAGGGGAGATAGAGCGAGGGACTGAGGAAGGCACGGGGAGGGGAAGCTGCAATGTGGCAGGGATTAATTTACGTGCATTTAAGAACAGATTCTCAGGACAGCTCATAAAACGCCAAAAGTTGACAGCAGGAAGCGGGAGGAGCTCAAGTCACTTGAACAGAGGAAGAACTCACAAGTACAAAAGCTTTTCCTTACCTAGCAGGAATATGGGGATCATTGCTCACTGCCTCAAGGAAACAAAGTGTTATTATGATCATGTTCTCTCCTCTGTTGGGCCACTCTAACAGGCAGGCAGCACCTGGCATCTCAGCACAGAACCAAGGTTCAGCTACAGCCCTCATCCCATTAAGGGGCTCCCTGGGACCTTGGATAGCCTGTTAGGATAGGACTGCCAAAGTCATCTTTGCCTCTTCACCTTTAAACTGACCTTCCCACCTAAAAAAGTCACTTATTCTGGTCTCCTCTTCAGGGTCTATATAGTTGACATTTTTAGTATCAAAAGATTCCCTGCACACATCAATTTCATCCCTCCCAAGCCTTGAAAGATAATCAGTTGCATGAGAATCTTAGGCATATCCCATGGTGCCATTATACTGTCATTTACATTCCACATCATTTTGTAACAGCTACTGTGATAGCTTCCTCTATCAGAGATCATTTCCTCTATTTCCAGGACTGGAAGAAATTAATCAAAGATAAAGAAGGAGGGAATCAGGACAGCAAATATACACTAGAAAGAGAAAATAACTACTTCATAAGCAGATAAACCAGCACCTGAGATGGCAAATGAAAATAAGGAAAAAGGGTCTGCAAGGCAGCTGAAAGCTGAAGCAGCTCAGTAGGACAGATACAGGGTGAAAAGAAATAAGAAAAGTTCAAGGAGAAGAAAATAAATACATGGTTTTCTTTAATATAGAACACAGTGGGAAGGTTTTACACAATAACATCAC